TCCTTGGATTGAGTTGGAACCTCTCTTGGGAGTGAGACAAGATGTGTCTGGTTCTGTTAAGTGGAAAACAGTTCTGGTTTGATCCAACAGGCATCTCTGCACACTAACTGTTCCTTGTGTTTGCCCTTTGTGTCCAACCCCCTCCAACCTAGGGCTTGTCTTTGGCAGAGAGGGAGCTGGTGCTCCAAGGTGGTGGCTCCAACAGGTTGGGACCTGGCCACTTTCCTCCCCACTCTCTTGCCTTCCCCCTTGGCTTCTGCCTTGGGAAGGAGCTGGCACAGATTGGCTGGTGCTGCCTTAGGCGCCCCCTTTGTTGCCCTAAGTCTCATTCCTTACCGAGTGATTCGGTCCCTTTGGCTTTGCCATTGGGGTTTCTCTGTGTCTTGGACCAGAGGCATTTTGCACTTTCTTTTGTGATTGTGCCACCTTGTCACACTTTTCTTATGTTTCCCTTTTAGATGTGTGATAACTGCTCTTTTTTGTGTTTAAAGAGTTTCTTTTGTGTTTGATGATGGGCTTTAGTAGACTCCAAATACATTTTCCTGTCTGGTGACCCCTAGACACCTTCTTTTGCCCCTTTTCATTAGATAGGATTGGTATTTAGGCCATTGCTCTATTTCCACCTCCAGCCCAGGGTGAGGAGATTTAGAGAGCACAGTCTCACAGGCGGTCTTGTGAGGGGTGGGTGGTCAGTCACCGGAAGGGGAGCAAGCCGCTAAAGCAGAGGCAAGAGAGTTTTTAACAGCAAGGAGGGCGTCTTGAGCAACAGGGCAAAGGAAAATGTGGGAGAAGTTCACTGTGTGAGTTGAACAACAGCGGCAAAACCCATCAGGGTAAACGTTTCGGTACCAAAGGTGAAGTCGAGATTGGGTGGGGAGGGATTCTGTAAAGAGTTGGAGGCGGAATTTGCGACGATGAGAGCAGGAAGCGTGTCAAACAAGGAAGAAGGGCGAATGCCAGAGTGAAGGACTTGGAAGGTGGATTCCCCCTGAACAGAAGCAAAAGAGTCACGAAAAGGAGAAGTAAAGGAGTAATTGGAGAGGCTGCTGTGAAGTGTGTGCCTGTGGAGGCGTCGGAGTTGGCGACGAAGGTGTCCTAGGACTGCTGTGTTGCTGATAAAGGCAGTGGTGGGTAGAAGTGTTTGCGAGGTAAATGGAATGTCAATGGGTGGTGTGGTGGCGTTTAGATGGGAAGCGAGGTGGTCAGCTGCTTCGTTGCCAGCGGAACCGGAGTGTCCACGAATCCAGACGACTGACGGGGGGGCTGATGCAAGTGGAGAGGACCTGCCCAACGAGGGCCCACAGGGAGGCCAGAGGAGAGCAGAGAAGGGAGCGGAAGGAAACGGTAAGGGGATCAATGGAGGAGGGTTAGGGTTAAAAAGGAAGGGATGGAGAGGTGGGGTGGGAGAAGAGTCAGTTATAGGTAGTGATGACAGAGCTGTTGTTAAGTTGAATGGTGAGGGGGGTTGGAAGATGACAGGTAGAAATCAAGGCAGAGAGGAGACCAACAAGCTCAGCAGTGGCAGAGGAAGAAGCGATGGGGGGAAGGGCAACGGCAAAGGAGAAGGGGGGTTCCAAGGAAACAACAGCAGCAGCCATGAAGCCAGTATCACGAAGGGACCCATCGGTATTGAGCGTGAGGGAAAGGGGGGGAATTTGCGGAGCAAAGGTCGGGATAGGGCTTGCACAGGGAGAAGGAAGTATTGGGATTGGATAGAGAGGGTAATTGAAATGGTCGGAAAGGCGGCGGCGGGGATATTGTAGAATTGACGTGAACGGAGGGTGGGGAGGGTCTCAAAGTGGGGAAGAAGAGAAGTGTAAAGGTTACGGAGTCTGTGTTTGGCCCTGCTGCGGCCTCGGAATGCTTTGGGTCTGAACGAGGTGGTAAGGAGTTGTTCAAAAAAGAAGATGTGAGAGCGCTGAAGGTCAGGAAGGAGTTGAAGACGAGTGAGCCAAGGTATATCTGAGATGGGGTGAGCGTGAACCCGAAAAAGGGGAGGATGAGAGGAAGTAATAGAGTAATTGTTAGCAAATAAGAGGGGGATAAGAGATGCGGTGAAGTGCTTAGGGGTGGAGGGGAGGGGAAAAGGATGTGTGAAGAGAGGAGTAGCCTGACAAAATGTCACATGGAGGCGTTGGTAAAGAAAACGGGTGATGGAGCCAATCAAGGAAGGGTCGTTAAGACGGAGCTGTAAATCAACAAACATATCGGAGCAATATTCAGGTATAGGTCAGGAACATCGTACAGGAGGTGATGATGTATAATGGAGGAGAACAAAGGCCAACCAGTTTTTTGAAGGCTCGACGGAGACAAGCAGTTTCATTCAGAAGGAAAGTGCAAGGGAGGATAGCAGTTTCCAAAGAAAGCGGACGCGAGGAAGTAAGACGTTATGAAGAATGTATGAAGCAAGTTTGTCTCCCATCACCTTCCCCTGGATGGTGGTGAGGACATCAGAAATGGCAGCAGAGATCTGTTTTCGAGCAGAACTCGAATGACCATCGGCAGAGAAGAAATTCCCGAGGTGGCGGAAGGAAACAGAGTTGGGCTGGATGGGGATTGGGGTCTGACCCCACATAATTTGTCGAGGGCTGTTGGGTGGAAGGTTGGCGGCAGAAATGAAGATTTTGCGGGTGTTCGACTCGATGCTGTTGTGGGACTGTTATTCGTAGAGGATGTCGGCCTGGTGTTGTAGATCAAGGTAAGAGCAAGAGAGGATGTTGGTGTCGTCGACCAGGGCAAAGCCGGAAACTGAGACTGGTCGAGTGGGTGAGAGAAGGGGGGCAGGCATGGATGGGGGGGAATTAACAGAAAAAGAAATGCTGTGGGTGTGCTTGTCAAGCGTGCAAAGAACAGGGTCCCAAAAGATACGACAGTCGAGAGGTCCTTCTAGCGAGCCTTGTTGTATCATAGTGCCAATAGGTAAGGTGGGGGAGGGACCGAAGGCCGTGATGACAAAGGAGGAAACGAGCTTGGGTGTTGACACGCATCTGGATGTAAGATTCGGGCAGTCGTATACGATACCAGGCTGAGAGCAGGCCGGCAACAGGGGCACTGTCGAAGGCTTTCTTGATATCGTTGAGGAGGAGGAAAAGCGGGGAGGAGTTTTCATGGCAGAAATCAAGGGCAGAGCGGACCAAGTGGAGAGGAGGATCGGGTGATGAGCCAGGAAGGGCGGAAAAGTTACAGCTGCGAAGGATTGCGGGGGAAGTGGCTCTGGAGTCACCTTCCTGATTTGGCAACTGAAACCCACACAAGTCCCCTTCACCAGCCCAGCCCCCATCTTTTGCCAACAGCACAAACACCACTAACAGACAGTCGAGCTGGGAGAAGAAAGAGGAGAATTTGGTCACATCCAGACTCGAACTGGAGACCGTCTGTGTGTTAGACAGACGTGATAACCAACTACACCATGTGACCTGTGCAAAGATTTCGTGGGGTTTGCAAAATGATGTGGGAAGAACGACAACAACCAGTTTAGCCAAGTAAACAAATAGGCTAGCATGCCTGAACTCTTCTACGGGACGGACAGGGTGCGACCTAGCGCCCCTCGTCGTCGCCAGCAACAGGGGAGAGAGAGAGAAGGGAGTCAATTATGTAGGGGTCAGAAGGTCGCCAGCAGGGAACTCGCACGCAGAAACACCTGCGATTGTACACGCACCTGGCTGGGCTGCGTCGGCATGATCACTCGACCAACGGGCTTTATCGCATTGCACTTGTACTCACACATCTCACTCTCACAGCGATAGGACCGAGGCAGGCACTTGTAGATCGAACTCTCAGGTGTTGGGGGCTGCACCAAGCGCAGTCACCAACACCTTTGCAGTGACGGGAAGGTTGGGGACGACGACGTCATCGTCGTCGCCACCACCACCACCGTTGTCGCAGACAGAACCAGCAGTGTCACACAGTCGGTGGTGGGGCCAGCTGCATTCCCCACCCGCGACCCCTTAAGAGGAGCCCCTGAAGGGACCATGTACTCACCTGGGTGCATACCACCTCTCACTACTCTCACCATCGCGAGCCAGATGGATTTGAAGGGACTCTGTATTGGTGCCAAAGGACAGAAATCAGATTAAAGAAAAAAAAGGAAAAAGAGAAATGGCCTTAAAACAGAGAGAGAAATTGACTTGTCAAGCCCCCTGACTTGGAGCAGCCACCACAAATGCTTTAAGCCCCCCAACCCTATGCGTGTATGTACAAGTGCCGAAAATAAAGAATAAATTGGGCGGGCTTGGGGAACAGCCAGCCTGTCAGGCACCCCATCCCTAGGCAGTCAGGCAGTCTCCGTTACTCACCAAAAAAGAAAATATGTTGAGAAAACCCTGGCGCAACAGAAACTGTTAAGACGAAAGTAGTAAAAGCAGGCCCAATAATAAAGAAGGGTTAGCTGCAAATACACTTTGATAACGCCTTGGAAACTAAAGAACCAGGAGTAATAATAGGGGTCCCGATCCTTGCAGTTTTATGACAGGTACGCTTGTTTTTGCGAATAAAATCCCTAGACTTTATCAGTGAGACCTCGGTGTAGTCTCACACCAGGTCTGCATTGGCGGTGGCTTGCTCTCCCCATGGCTATTGTGAGAACGATAACTGACAGTCACAATAGGTTCAGGTCCGTCTTGTGCCTCTTGCTGCTAACCAGTCAGCTCCACCTAACAGCTGAAAAAGAAAAACATTGGACAATATGGTGTTTCTTTTGTCAGGAGTGGGTGATTAGGCTGCTGTGACTGCTTGCTCTTCTTGGCCCTAATAAGCATGGGATGCTGGATTGCCCTGGAACCTGGATGGTCTTGGCCACCAGATCGCCCACTGCCACAGCAAGCCACCTGCCAGTTTGCCACAAGCCATGGCCATTTACCCACCATGGCTTGCTCCAGGCAACAGGACTGACAAATTTTGGTGGTGCCTTTGTGGATTCTGGGGATTCTGACACCCTGGCTTTCTGCAATTAGTGCCACAAACGTTTCCTATGCAGGGGGTCTCCCAACTGCAGGGGAAAATGGTCAGAGTGGGATTCGAACCGAGAGACCGCAACTTGAGTGCGGCGCCCCAGACCAGCTCGGCCATCTGACCACAGCTGTATTGCGTGTGGCAAGGGCACCCGCTCTGGACCGCTAGGCAGTGGTCACCTGCCAGCAAGTGTGCAAATCCATCAACTGGAGTTCTGAGCAAAACCCTGCAGCTGCCGTGCTCTGCTGCTCTCAGATCAGCAGACATATGCATTTTGTATTTTGCAAACACAAGCAAGAATCTGCTACATTTGTATAGTGGCTAGTACGCCTCGTTGTGGCTGAGGAAACAGTGGTATGATTCCACCATGTTGCAATCAGTTTTGTGCAGTACTTTGCTGCAGACTTGTTGTGGTGGAAACACAAGTTTGTTACTAAGCGCAGGTTTGATGGGATCAAGTGAAGCGAGCAGAGCCTTGAGGAATAGGTGACTGCCAGTAGAGGCAGGCCACCCCCACTCACCCATGCCACGGCCAGCAATCAACCTCAACCACCTTCATCTTCTCAATTAGGTCCCGGTCATCAGTGACAGAGATGCTCTTCTTTGGTGTGGGCTGGGCTGCCAGCATGAGGTAAGGTGAATGGCTTATGGACAAGCTGTTTCAGTGAAGCCAAGTATGTTGGCATTGAAGGCTCAGGCTGTTTAGGGCAGAGGTTTTGATGTGGAAAGTGGCGCCTGCCACCAGCTGGATGAAAATTCAAACTTTGATCCAATCCAAAAAATTTAAATAAAATACCAAAATAAAAAAAAAGTGGAAATGCAGAAACAAAACATTAACCTCCAAGGTCCAACCTGATCACAGCCGCAACAACGACAGTAAGTGTTGGGAAAGTTGCAATGGTGAGATTAGTGGCAGTATTTGTTGAAATTCGTTGGGGATGGGATGGATGCACATACTGTGAGGCGCTCAAGGGCGAGCAGAAAGTCTGACCATCCCTTCAAAAGTTCCAATCCCATACAGCCATTGGTGGGCACTTTCGTGGGTGTCGGTGGGGGAGGGCGATAAAGCCAAGTGCCACGCAGACTGCGACCCTGTATAATCAACTTGGGTGATTTGTGCTGTCTAAAGTTGTAAAAGGAGGAGAAAATCTCAAAATGATTGTCAGAAGCCTGGTAGTCGACAGCCCTCACTCACATTGTGATCACAATCTCCAACTCCAGCAGCGTTGATCAGGTGCTAGCACAAAAACAGCTGTTCATTGAAAGGTGTTTTTTGGTAGTGCCAGCAGCGAAAGGTTGATTGGATGTTTTTGATCACGTCAAAAAAGCCGTCTTTGTTGGCGCTAGGGTTAGGCCCTTTTTGGAGCAAGAGATTTGCCTTTTTCTAATTTTTGTTTCGATAAAAGAAAACAATTGTTTGAAAAACAGAAAGGAGGCAAAAAAGGCTATGGTGTTTGACAAGAAAGGGTGTACCGTCCTCTAATAGGGAAGGGGAGTATGCTCAACACCAACCTCTTCAATTTGTGCCTGCTTGTGCTTTGTGGTTGTTTGGCAGCTTTTAATAGCCCCTGCATACGCAATCTTCCTGTTCCAGCACTGGCACGTTGTGGAACATGTTTGAAGCTCATATACCTAGATGAAGGGCCATTTTTTGTCGGTTTGATTCACTCCCGCTCTCCGCTTACATTGAAATTCACGGTAATATTTTGTTCGCAAGCGCTCGTCCCAGCGTTGATCCCACCGAAAAATCGCCTTAGTCAGGCTACTCACGCCACAACAACACAAAACACACACTCTCTCACTTTCGTCATCGGCACACCGCAGCCGTCGCTGCACAAAAGCGCAGGGACGGCGCGTCCTTTCGCACCATAAATCGCGCCGATCTCGACGGGGCGGGCGGGGTCGCCGTGGCGCGAGTCGAGGAAGGCGATGTGGCCGATGTACTCGCCCAAGGCGCGTTCGCGGATGAGGAAGCCCTGGCGGGTGGGTTGGTGCCCGCGTAGATGCGGAAGGAGGCGGCGAGGGCGGGCGGGTCGAGGAACGGGCCGAAGCAACACATTCGCAAGGGACGATGGGGGGGAGGAGGGAAAACAAATTCGGCGCAAAGCGTGGTCCAGAGAACGTATTGCGCCATGGCGTTGCCGTTGTCGGCCCCTGTGGGAAGGGAAAGAGAAGGGTCGTGGTGAGTGGAGGTGATTCGCGGGGGGTGGGGGAAGGTCAAAGGGGAGGTTACATTCGGGGTGGCTCTTGACGACTGGTTGAAGCCTCCGTCTCGAGCCAGTGCAATGCATCAGCGCAGTCCAATTGGGCCGCATATTGGAGCGACGATTCTCCATGCCCAAAGGATCCCAGCCCCGCGATTTGCACCACGAGAGAACGTTGACGGCGCCCCCCAACAGTGAATTTTTTGGCTACTCTTCAGTTGCTCAAAGCTTATTTGGGCTGGTCGAGGTCTTTGCGTTGTTGGCGAGAGCTAATAGCGCTTAACGCCATTGAGCCCCAAGCGGGATCTGGGAGAATCACGCACTCGAGATCCCAGAATTCTAGTCTCGACGCCAGCTGATGGCGGAAACAAGGCATGTAGGGGCTGGAATCAACCTTAGTTTTGTTTAAATATCGATCGGTAGGGGTGGCCAGTCTCTCAGTCACTTACTTCAAAATGTCATTACACTACTTCTGAGCATAAGGCCGCAAGGTTACCACGCGAAAAATAAAGAAAAATCTTCACGCTGTGGACCGAGACGCTTGTGATTGGCAGGGAAATGTGGACGTTCTGCGTTCAAAAGTCGGTCCTTGCGCGATTGTGTGGAAAATGAGTTGACAGCCTTCACTCGCTGTCGAAGGACAAAAGCGTGGTGCACTGCGACAGAATTTTCGTGGTTGCGGCGATGATAGCCTGGATGTGGATCGCCAACCCGCCGTTTTGGAGATTCACCTTCGATAAGATGATCGTTTTTTTAATGTTCACTCGCTAATGTTTTCACTTTTGCAAGCACTTGCATAATAATATATAGAATAGATGGCCTCCGTGCAGTTACATTATTCAGAACACACTCAATTTCCCCCTTTGCCCAATGCGTCTCACTACGCGTAGGGTCTTCACTGAAATTTCCGTGTAAGCTGCGACTCGTCTGCAGTTTGACAAAGCTCCTTTACCTTTACGCAGCGCCTCGCCAGTTGCGTACAAGTCTTGAAGAAAAACCAAAACTGTTCCACTGTTGTTCTCCCGAGCACAGTCGTGCGGTGTCATTCCGATTCTACATTTTGCATTCGAGTCCGCGCCAGTGTCCGTCAGAACCTGCAAGACTTCGATGCCCCCGCTCCAGCACACAATATGCAAGGCTGCTCTCCCCTCCGCGTCTCGCGCGTGCGCCCCACACACAAGCAGCATCGAACAGCTTACTCGTGCTCGCCCTCTGCTGCTCGGAACAAGGCGACACTGAGGTGCTGTGGTCCCCAGGATCACTGTCACTACTGCCAAAACCATTCCTGCTTCCTCCAGCATTCCAATCCCCCCATCGGAATGCGATCCAGCAGCAACTCTATAACGCTCACTTCGCCCATACTTGCCGCCAAAATTTGCAAATCGTCATGACCATGATCGCCCAGGTCGTGGTCCAGCAAAAGCTCAATCAAAGGTGGACTGCACCTAAAGAGTGCTTCCGAAAATCGAATCGGAACCGGCGCTTCACCGGCGAGGTTTTTTCTAGCAGTCTGGATGCAGAGCTTCGAGAGGCGGGAGATACATGATAAACATTTTTTTTTTGCCGCTTCTTGCAGTTCAGGAGATTGAGGGATTGTTTCGCGCCATGTATGTTTGTTTCGAATTGGAAGCAACGTCCGGATCGTCCACCGGTTAGGATACCGCACTTTAGCAATTAACCTCTGCGGAGAATGGGTGTTCAACTCCCCATCCGGATATTGTAGTTTTCCTCCATTCCCTTGCTTTCTTTCTTCGTCTATTGTATGTTCATCAAGACTGCATGATCGACGAGGAGGGCCTCCTCTGCAATGCCAACTTCAATACCGCAGTGGAATGGCGATTGGAAGCTCTTCGGGGAGTCAACGCCTCTCCGGCCGACTTCGTTCGAAGGTGGCTTAACCACCACCACATCGAGACACAAATTGACTCGACATGTTTATGATATTGTCGCACGGATTAAGATACCGCATATTCTAGCACTTTGTCACGCGGAGAATGGGTGTTCAACTCCCTACCCGGATACGCCTTACGGAATTCTCATTCTCTATCTGCAGAGAGTCTCGCGAAGCTCGGCATTGTCGGGAACAGATACATATTCACCCAGCAACATTCGAGACGCGATCCCGCTCACTTGGACAAACTCTGCCATTTCCCTTCATTCTCTAACAAAACTTGTCACACATTAAGTTCAAAACAGTGGAGCATTAGGGAGATTTTTCAATTTCCCCCTCAAGTCCAAAACCGCAAGTTCTTGCCTCAAAATTTTGTAGTGTTGGACTTGAGCTGAGTCTGCAATGTCTTTCAGCGGCAGAGCCACAGCCTCCTTAACGGCAAACCACGCAAATGTTCTAGTTTGTAATTGGACTCCTCCGGCGAGGCGCGCCACACGGTGACGGCGCGGGTATTCTAGCGGGAAGGGATTGATCCTGAATGTGGATTTTGCGTTCGCTCTGTGGGGGTTGACTTGTCAAGCATCCATAACTCTGCAAGGAATTTTTTTGGAAGACTTGAGCTTCGGATATGACGGATAATTACGACGCCTCCTGCACCCTCGCGGCTCCTTCTACATCCGCGCCGACGGCGGCTGCTACCACCGGCAACAAGAACACCGACTCGGGGTTCGTCGCCACCATCAACGGGAACCTCGCCACCGTCAAGGTGTACCTGAACCCGGGAACCCAAAGATCTCGATCGATTCCACCACTCCTCTCGACTGCAAGGGCACCGGCCTCGTCATCTCCGCCGCGTCGAATAAAGGATCTCCCCTCCCCACCGGGTCGGCTGCTGCTCCCACGGGCACGGGCACCAGCGCCTCCCCTTCGTCGACGTCGACCAAGAGCGGGGCGTCGCCAAAGTCCAAGTCGGCGGTTGTCATTGTGCTGGTCGGCACGGCTGCCGGTCTAATCGCCTCCCTCGCTGC